AAAATAGGAAGAAGTTATGTAGCAGCATGTATGTAAAACATGTTATGTAAGAGGGCACACAACATAACTGGGAAAGAGAAACCCAAAATCACGTAGCCTAGGCTGACCTTGAACTCCTGGCCACCCTCTTGCCTCAGCCTCCTGAGTGCTGAGATTACAGACATGCGCCACCACACCAACTCAAATAATGTTTTATTGCCTTCTTTGAATATTTTTACAGTACATCCAATATATGTTTTGTTAGTCAGAAAAACACAATGAGCTAACTTTTTTGTCTCAAAAAGACAAAAAAAAAATTTGTTACTATATATGTTATTTCTCACTTTGCTTATTCACTTCAAATACTGTATAATCTATTCTCTTATTACTACTTAAATCAGTGATACTACTTTGCTTTAAAATACATGTATTAATCGTCTAACTTTCACCTCGAGTGAAACTGGGCAAGATAATTCCTATAAATTAGGGTAACTTCAAATGGTATACGTGTGGAGCCTCAGACATAAAAGTAACTAAACACATCAGGTTATTCAACCAATCAAATGGACAAATCTTTTATAACAGATCGTTATAAAGCAAAAATGACCCGGGGGGTGCATGCTTATAAGCCCAGTACTCCGGACGCCGAGGGTTACGTCCATATCTAGATGTCCCCGCAAAGCCTGGGTGCTCATGGGTGGGGCTTTGCGCGGTGACTTGTGGTGTGCGGCGCTGGATTCGTGCGCGGATGGGTTTACAGCTGGGTGCGACATAGGGAGGCGAAGCCGGGTGGAAGAGGCGGTCGGTGTGCACGTGGCCTGGAAGGATCTGCGCTGCACACCCCTCCTCCCCGCTGAGCCCTCCCTGCTTCTTATCTGCCATGGGTGCGATTAGCAGCCTTCTCTGCCTCGCGCCTCTGCTCGCAGCGCTGCCTCTGAGATAGCTGACTACGCACTGAAAGCAACCTCTACAGACTGAGCTGAAGTAAGCCTTTCCTCCTTACAGACGTGGTGTGTGCCGCTGTGTCTCAGAGATGAGAACGTAATGAAGACACTGAGGCAGGAGGATCTTGAGTCTGAGGCCAGTCTGGGCTACATAGACTTTGTCTTGAAAAAAAGAAAGAGAGAGAAAGGAGGGAAAGGAAGAAAGAAAGAAGCAAACAAACAAACAAACAAGCCGGGCATGGTGGCGCACGCCTGTAATCCCAGCACTCAGGAGGCTGAGGCA